CTTCCAATAAAAGTTTGTAACAATGAGGCAAATAGTAAACAATAATTCCGTGCTCTCCAATTCACCTCACTGAAGGATGAAAGAATTAATAGGAGTTTGCTCATCCAAAGCTAGGCGTCGTCCATTCAACAATAGCACTAATATACAGACAATTAAGATGATATCAGTGCTATGGAGCATTCTAGCAGAAGCAAGATCCTCGTCACTTTGGCAGAATTTTGAGCCAGAGGTGAGCTGCTGCCTCAAATCGAAGTCGCGTTGAACAACTATCCTCCGGGCATTCGGTCGGCCGTCTAATCTGTTCAACATAGAGTGAAGGTAGGTGACAATAGTTGCGTCCTTCATGGTGTTTGCAGGGGTTTAGAGATCTGTGGGTACCATGCGATGAGTGAGCAGACTTAGAGTAAGGAAAACATTAACAGGTATTAAAGGCCAAGCTTCCCCAGTGGTAAAGATATCGTCCCGGGATCTCCTCAATTTCATCAATGTGGTCACAGAGAAATCCATTGAATCGAATCATCATTAAAGGTGGAGAGCCGATTCATTTGTTCTTTACGAAGTAAAAAAACGGGAATAGGAAGGATTGCTGAAGTAACTGTTATAATAACCACAAAACGGTTGCGAGAAAATAAAACAAGTTAGGAACGATTTCGGAGAGGATTAAAGTTGAACAAGATTGAAAAATTGTGCAGAAAAATCTGCAGTAAATCGCTACTTACCATTTAAATTGACAAAGTGGCTGAGTACATACCTCACTTAACTTTGAAGCACTCAACATCCAGGACTGCCCAATTACGCAACCACCAGCTTGTCTACTGAAATGATTCCTACGTATTTTATGACACCTTAAAGGATTAGCCCTGGTAACCGACTCTCAAGGAACCGGTCATGATTAAAGCGAATTTAAAATTAGTCTGTTTTAATATAGCCACATTTTTTGGATTTGAACGTGGGACAACTAGGAGATAGATCCCCCCCATGGCTTGCGACTTATTCATTTAGTAGACGGACTAGCCGGACAACCTACTTTTTTAAGTTTTGTATCTTGTGAATATTTAAGTAAGCAGACGTGAGGAATAGAGGAGGATGTACTCAGCGCCCCAGTGCGACGCGGTGTGTGCTGTTCATTTGTTATTTTTTACACATGGCTCCATTTACCGGCCGTAAAAGCGCTGAACAATTCTACATGCATATTTAACTTGTGCGTGCCGATAGGGAGGCAATTTTCAGGTGCTACACTATAGTGCAATTGTAAACGTAAACTGAGTTCAACATTACTAAAAATACGCATTTTCAGAAATTATTACGAAAGAAGGGGCAGGGTTTTTTAGTTGTTCAGGTAAAATTGTTTGAAAGTAATCGAATGCGTGGGCGCATGAGGTTTTCGTTGAAGGCCACAAATATAAGAAATCCGCTTTCGATACATTTTATAGTACCACATAGCCTACTAGACGTCTCATTTAAAACAGCAAAACAATATTCTGCAGAATTAATCACTACGGTGTCGCAATACGCATAGAATAAAAAGCAGTTTCTTTAAAGACCAACCCCTTCCTGAAGGAAATGCGTTTATCAGAGTTTGCTAAATTCACAACTTGTATAACTTAATGGATTTAGCTTATTTCCAGAACAAGAAGAAACAAACATAATAATCTTAATATTCAAATTAATATATATATATATATATATA